ATCGGCCAGACGCCGCGGCTGGCGCCTGACGGGATCAGTCAGCGGCCGCGGGGTTACCCGGCGCGCACGGCAAGTGACCGCTGGCGCTCGTGTCCCAAGAGCCCCGAGGCCCCGTAACGTCTGAAGAGCCCCAAGGCCCCGACCGGAGCCCCAGCTGACCTCACGCACAGCCGCAACTCCCGCACAAGCTGGTCTCTTGGACCGAGGCTGAGGTGGTGCTGGAGTGAGATCATTCGACGAGGGTATACTAGGCAGGTGAGTTGGACTTCAGCAGGAGCAGGATTTTACAGAGGGAAGGATATAACTCAACATGCTTGTACTGAAAATTAAGTTTAGAGCGCTGCAGGCGCATACAATTTCTTACGTGTTATAAAATGATATCGCATGTACTCCATTTTCTGATTTCTGCGTGTCTAGCTGGAATTCTTAACTGTTAGCATTTAGCCACACACACACGTTAAAACATGCCATAAATTTGGTAAGGGTAAGATGGGGTAAAGGGCGAGGGGGCGTGCTTTCGATTCAGCTATTTGCGCACGCCCCTGGGCTTCAGGAATTCTTAACTCAAGTGAGCTTCATAGCCCGAGACTATTGGAATATGATGACTGCAGCTGTATAATCAAAATGTGTCACGTCCACATGGACACCTCAACTATATATATATATATATATATATATATATATATATATATATATATATATAGTAATACAGCTATATGGTTTAATTGACAGCAATACAGTTTGATTTCAAGGTATCCGTACGAAATACAGGCTTGAGGCTTTTGAGATAGAACCTTTGCACACTATATGCTCTACGTGCTCTATACTGTATGCTCCTGTATGCAGACACACTTGTGTATGGTTGAAAGTTTTAAATTTTCACCATATCAAGCAAAACGGTCGCTGGTCCGGTGGCCGGTGGGTTTGCATTTCGGGGCGAAGGGGGATGGGTGGCCTTTCTAGTCGCATGTCGTACCATGGTAAGTATTTGAGTTGTTTGTTTTGTGTGTTGATCATGGGTGTCCTCTCTGAAACACAATGTTTCAAGTGTGGTGACTGGTGAGGCATCTATGGTCTTTGGTAGGCGCAAGCTTGGTGGCGTTCATGACTAACACATCTCTGGTGAGTGGGATGGTGTGGTGTGTACGCGCACGTGTTTGCGATGCCTCTCCCGGGAGTACATGGCTACGTGTTGGCTGGGACTTGTTGTAGTCAGGTCATGTAGTTTACTCTGCGGGTTTCACAACCCCCGGCAGCACACCCGAGACACTAAGCTGCATTGGTCCGCTTCAGCTTATTCCTGGTTTGGTTAAGGCTGTTTTTGATAACCAGGAGTGGTGCAGTTGGACTTGTGTAGTAGATTACAAGTCCCAGTTGTTTCCCGTTGATCATAGTGAGGACGCAGGTGTTTGAGGACAAGGTCAGATAGTGCCTTGTTTTCGGTTCTCAAGGTGGGTTTATGGTATTTTTGTAGCGAGTTGAAATGTTTTATGATGATCGCGAGAGGCATTACTTTATTTCCTTTTTGAAAAAGTGATCAGATAAGGACTTCTTGGCATTGCCAAAGTCAGGATTTGTGTATCCGTTTGTGATGAGCATCTGATGCGGCCGGTCTAGGTACCTATCGAAAGCATTCCAAGAAGAACAGTTTTTAAAGCCCTGCTGACATAAGCCGGAATGGCCCCTTTCTTATACGTATCTCGACAGTCTTCATGACCATTGATACATTTGCGCTGGCTGATGCCTTTTCTATAAACATCTGTCTGAAATGCACCACTTGAGTTAATCAGGAGGTCCACAAATGGCAGTTTGTCGTTCACAATAAGTTCGACGGAGGAATGCAGACCTAACTAGTCCCTCAGTATCTCACGCAGACATTGGAGGTGACCGGCGCTGCTAACGTCCATAAAAATGTCAGCGATGTCACGGAAATTATTTCAGGCTTGATGTCCGGGAAATTGACCACCTGTTTTCTACACGACACATATGTCCGTGCGATAAGAGTGCCTGCCTTCCCGATCCACCCAGACGTGGCGGGATATGTCCGAGTCGTTCTAGGTGCTCGTTATTTGCCTTTGATAGGCGTAGGCTGCGGCTGGCGGCAGCGGCCGTGCTGAAGGTTAGTTGGCGTCAGAAGGCAGGACGGGCTTGTCGAGCATTGCGGCACGTTTAGCTTTCGCCACCAACTTGCACCGTTGACCAGGACATGCGCGATGGGATGGTAGGGGTCAGGACCGACACAACAAGCTCTGCTTAGCGTGAGCTTTGAACCAAGAAATAAATGCACTGTGTGTGTGTGTGTGTGTGTGTGTGTGTG